GGTCTGAGATGCAATCAACACATGTGGAAAATAACAAAAAAAGAGAACTACTGCTATCAGTATTAGCTAGCTCATTCAACTGATGGAATGAAACAGCTTGGATCTAGTCTAGGGTGAAAAATACTATACTAGAACAGAAGGGGATCTGGTTTCTCGTCGACCAACAAAAAAGATGAAGAGATAGTCCGTTACCGATGGGACGGCGGCGTCGAATCGCGTCGTGCGGGCTCAGAGTTCCTTCAGCTGGAGGCTTGGCGTCCCCTTGTGTCCTCCCATATCCGAGGTGGGACTAAAGTCACTGGCGTTGCCCAAGGTCAGGTTCCTGACACCTTGGCGGCGGCGCGGCGAGGCGCACGAAAAGACTCGGTTTTTCCCAGCTGGGGAAGAACCAGCGCAAGGAGAGAGATTGTGAATATTTACCGTCGATACTCTCCGTCTCCGAATTGTGGGCCTTTGCACCTTATGGGCCGGCCTACTTCTGCCTTGGAAAAGACGGTCATGTTCTTGTCACGCACGATCGGATAAATATGTTTCCTTCGTAAAAAAAAGGATAAATATGTTTCGGACCCCTAAAAGAATATGTTTCCGTCGCACCATAAAAGGATGCTTCCATCAGTACAAAAAAAGAGATAATAAACAATACTGATTGCATGACACCTAAAAATGCTACGCCGAACAAAAATGCATCTGCATAAGTAGTTTTTTGTGTTTTTTTGTTGGAAGCAGGCAAGTAGTTCACACTTACCAATACATAACTCAGGATTTCATGAGATTTCTGCGTCTGTATTTCTTACTTCTTTTTGTTTTTTCTTTGTTCCTTTTTTATTCTTATATTTTTTCATTATTCTCTCTTTTTTTAATTTAAGAAAAATGGTCTCAATTTTCAAGAGTGTTTAAAATTTTCATAAATTTTTTCAGTTTTTTTTAGATTTTTATTTATGATATAAAACTAAAAACAAAAGTAAACAAAGAAAATGAACTGAAAAAGGAAAACAAATGGTTAAACACTACCTCGCGCCACTCGGTAAAGACAATAGCGACAAAGCAAACTAGGCCGACGCCCATATATGGTTCATGTGTCACCATCCTCCTGCATAATGCACAAAGTGACATGGAATTCCTATTTGGTGCCTATAACGCTAGCAAATTCTATTTGACACAATTTGCATTAAATAGTCGGACTTTCGCACGGCAAAAGCGAAGCGGGCGCTTGAATGGGCGTCCCATTTAGCTAGCATACAAACTAGATGTTTCGGACCATGTAGACTTCCCTTCGCATCGGTTTTAGGAAGCTTCCGAACATATTTTCATACTTTTCTTTTCTTTTCCTCTTCTTTTATTTGTTTGTTTCCATTTTTCATATCCTATTTCTAAAGTTTCCTTCTTTCAGTCCCTTTTTCATTTTTTTGTTTTAAAATTTCCAAATTCCTGAACATTTTTTTCAAAACCGTAAAGATTTTTCAAGTTTGTGAACTTTTTCAGATCTGTGGACCTTTTTCAAATCTATGAACATTTTATCAAATTCAATAAACTTTGTGTTAAATTCCTGAAAAAATCAGATTTGTGAACTTTTTTAAAATTCACGAACATTTTTTGAGTTCGTGATCATTTAAAAAAATACTCGAATAATTTTAGTATTCGCAAACTTTTTTTGATACCTTGTACATTTTTTAGACATTTGCAAATCAATTCTTGAACATGTTTCCATATTCACGAACATTTGTAAAACGTTTGAGAACAAACTGTAACCGACTGGTTTTGTACAAAGATAGCAGACCAACAAAAGCAAAAAACGAGCGTAAAAACACAGCAAGTGGGCGGGCGGGCGAGCGCATTCGCAAAATAAAGCGAGCGGGTGAGTGAGCCTGACAAAGGGAGCCGTCGGGTAGATTACTAGGTTGGCCCCTTTCATCGGCGCGTGAGCATGATGATTTGCAAGTGCACGGAGCTATTGCAATCGTGATAAATAAGTGTCGAGTCCAAGAAACCAAATGTAAAGACACTACCAATTCTACAACTACATTCACACCCAAAACGTACTTTGAAAACTATTTGTTCCATCGGTTGCTAGGAAAGCAACAATAAAAATGAGTTTTGATGAGACTACAAACTAAGACGTAAAATAAACTAAACTAGAACAGAAATAAAGTAAAAGGGGTTGTAAGTGTAGGATTGAATATAGCGAAAGACGATGTCTAGGCTTTTAGTCTCACTAAAACTAGTGGGGCAACTAAGTGGTGCCAACATACTAGTATTATAGACAGTATTCCTGAGATGACTAGACAATCTTCTTTGATTTTCATCCGCGAAGTGTCATTTTGTAAGTGTACTAGACATAACCTCACACCAAGGTCATACATGAGTGTCAATAATACACAACAGACCTAGGGATCACATAAATTTATCAATCCACTTGTGTGTATGTGCAAGTCCTCACAAGATCATATGTACAACACGAATAGAGTAATACTAGATGATGCCACAAAGACTAGTGGTGCGCACTAGATCATACCTCAACCTAGAACCAAATTGGTTACTCAAACATAAATGAATATAGACACCCATATGAATGCTTAATTAATGTCATGAACATGTTCAAAGTTACAAATTACAGGAGCAAGTAGGGAGATGGAGACGGTGGCCGACGCCGGTAACGGTGGTGGCGGCTACGCCTCCTTCTACTCTTGCGTGGCTTGTGTGGTGGTGGAGATGGAGATTAAGCTATGTAGGATAGGCTTCTGTCTGGATGAGAGGGAAAGCCTTCCGACAGCTGCCTGGAGTACTTCAAGATGAATCGCAACGACCAGGGTTGAAGGTGAATATATAGGAGGCCTCCTCGCGTCTTCTTCATAGATACCTATGTAACGCCCCGAGACCGATGTGCCAGTTGTCTCCCAGTTATTCGCCGTCGTTGCCATGTCTTTTGCTTGCGTGTTGCATCTTGTCATGTCATCATGTGCATTGCATCATCATGTTTTCGAAACTTGCATTAGTTCGGGTTCCCTAGTTTCGTCCATTGTCCGTTCTGAGCCCAGACACACTTGCACGCGCCCGCAGCATGTCCGAAATAGTATTTTATAAGTGGCCGGGAAATGTTTTCGGAATGGGTTGAAAGTTGGCATGTGGTGTTGTTATGTTGTAGGTAGGCTGTCTGCCAAGTTTCATCGCATTCGGAGTTCGTTTGATAGCCCAACGGATAACTATAGCGACATTATAGTCGGTTTAACATCGGACGTTTTCGGTCTCCGGAAACAGTTGCCGGGATGCATCTCTCTTCTCTTCTCTCAACCCAAAGCTTTCTGCACAGTCCGCTGCCAACCGCCAGGCCAGCCTACCCCTCTTTGCACAGGGCATCGACCCCTCGCCCGCGCCCGAAAGTTGTCGCGAACCCGACCCGGACTGTCGCCGTCGTTGTGTCCGGATCATCCCCAAACATCTACAAAACGTCTCCGTTTCTTATTTAGACTTTCCTAGCCTATATATTTTCGACCATCGGATTTTGATCGGATGATCCAACTCTCTTCTTTTCC